CTTAATGATTTCCAAAGCATACGAATCCCTACACGATTTCTTATAGCCTATTATAGCCGATGGCGAAAAAGCAACAGCTAGGCGATAAAGTGTAAAGCCCGGCGATAGGAACTACAGCCCGACTGTATACTTTTTTATCGCTTCGTATAGCCCGGCCGTATGATTTTCTCCGCATTCTACAGCCAGCTATATGATTTTCTGTAGCCTTCTTTAGCCGGCTATAAGAATTCCTATGGTATTTTGAAACGCAGCTCTTATCGCCAATTTTTACCAGGGACGCATTATTAGCCGTATTCGATTGGAAAAGCGAAATGATGGAATGACAAAGAAATACACAGAAAAACAAGAGGAATCAAACCGAAAACTTGATGAATAGAGTATGTTATGGAATCGCATAACCACTAGGCTACACCAAAGAGTTTATCACGAGAAGCTCGAATCCCCGTACCTTTTAACGGTAAGGTAAATCCGCACCTTTTCCGTACTTCCGTGCCGACCTTCCGAATTCCGTGCTTTTTCAGTGTATCCGTACTTTTTCCGTACACTGCCGTGCTAAGGAAGAACGCCGTATGAGCCTTCAGGCGTTGCCATTTTTCCTTTAATCACCCATGAATTTACTGGGATAATTCTGAATATTTTTCTTCTAATAATTTAGACAATTTTTCTCCTCATTTAATCTAAAATATCGGAAAATTTGAAGGGAAAATACGCATGACTTTCTTCCAAAATACATGTTTTATTCGGGGAAATTTGGAAACTCTCGAATGCTCATACGGCGTTTTTCCTTAGCACGGCAGTATAGTAGACACCCTGCCTGAGCTTAATCTTGAAAAGTTTTTACGTTTGAGAGCTGTCCGTGTGTTCCGNGACTATAGGCTCAATATTTAATCTGGCGGAGTCAGCGTTATTCAACTTATGATTTTGAAATGTTTGCACATCCTGTATGGATTATTCTCATTTTAATCGATGAAAAAAAATATGTACTAAAGGAAAATATAATGTGTGTTTTGTAAATATTACGGTGGTTCCGTATCAAACTTAATGATTTCCAAAGCATACGAATCCCTACACAATTTCTTATAGCCTTTTGTAATCGATGGCGAAAAAGCAACAGCCAGGCGATAAAGTGTAAAGCCCGGCGATAGGAACTATAGCCCGGCTGCATAATTTTTTATCGCTTCGTATAGCCCGGCCGTATGATTTTCTCCGCATTCTACAGCCAGCCGTATGATTTTCTGTAGCCTTCTTTAGCCGGCTATAAGAATTCCTATGGTATTTTGAAACGCAGCTCTTATCGCCAATTTTTACCAGGGACGCATTATTAACCGTATTCGATTGGAAAAGCGAAATGATGGAATGACAAAGAAATACACAGAAAAACAAGAGGAATCGAACCGGAAACTTGATGAATAGAGTTTGTTATGGAATCGCATAACCTCTAGGCTACACCGAAGAGTTTATCACGAGAAGCTCGAATTCCCGTACCTTTTAACGGTAAATCCGCCCCTTTTCCGTACTTCCGTGCCGACCTCCCGAAATCCGTGCTTCTTCAGTGTATCCGCACTTTTTCCGTACACTGCCGTGCTAAGGAAGAACGCCGTATGAGCCTTCAGGCGTTGCCATTTTTCCTTTAATCACCCATGAATTTACTGGGATAATTCTGAATATTTTTCTTCCAATATTTCAGACGATTTTTCTCCTCATTTAATCTAAAATATCGGCAAATTTTAAGGGAAAATACGCATGACTTTCTTCCAAAGCACATGTTTTATTCGGGGAAATTTGGAAACTCTCGAATGCTCATACGGCGTTTTTCCTTAGCACGGCAGTATAGTAGACACCCTGCCTGAGCTTAATCTTGAAAAGTTTTTACGTTTGAGAGCTGTCCGTGTGTTCCGAACTGCACATTTATCCATCATTCAAGGCATACATTTAAGACCCTCGCCCTCGTAGAGACTGGAGGAGTTGAGCCCGCAACCCATTAACAGGAAGCCAGCTGAACGGTTTGCGGACGACCGCGACCCTTGAAACAAATCGTTTAAAGCCGCTCCAATTCCTTCGGCGATGCCTCGAGTTGAGCTCCCACCTATTCTGCCGTGCTAAGGAAAAACGCCGTATGAACATTCGAGAGTTGCCAAATTTCGCTTGATAAAACATGTATTTTTGACATAGAGTACGAAGAGTCGTAATGCAAGTGCGGACATAGAGTACGAAGAGTCGTAATGCAAGTGCGGGAGAGCTGGTGCCACTTTTAAGCATTTTGCAGGTCCCGAATTCCGAGATTTCTGTGCGGCGCCGGGTCCCTTTTTCGATACATAATTGGACTGCATTTTGCAATTTGGAACTATAAATTCTGAATCTTCTGGAAAAACACTTATGTGCATAGGGAAAGGAATGGCACATACGTTGTTTTTAAATTGGGCTAGAATTTATAGTGCCAAATTGCGAAACGTAGTCCAATTGATTGTTTTCGATACACGGGGACCCGGTCATATTCCCAGAGACAAATTCCACACCGCCATTTTGGATCGAATATGTATCGAAAAAGTGACCCCGCACACCGGGCTCGGAACTCGTCGAGCAGAACATGGCGCCAGCTCTCCCACTTACATTACGACTCTATGTGCTCCATGATTTTTGACAACATTCATACGTAATTTTCCTTGAAATTTTCAGATATTTTACAATAAATTGCGCACAAAATCGTCTGAAAATTTTGGAAAATAATATTCGTAATTTTCCCAGTAAAGTCGCTTTTTATCGAAGGAAACGCGGCAACGTCTGGAGGCTCATACGGCGTTCTTCCTTAGCACGGCAGAGTTGAGCTCCCACGTATTCTGCCGTGCTGAGGAAAAACGCCGTATGAACATTCGAGAGATGCCAAATTTCCTTCGATAAAATGTTTATTTTTGAAGAAAGCTATGGATGTTTTACCTTGGAATTTTCAGGAAATTTAGGTGAAATTGCGAACAAAATTACCTGAAAAATTGGAGGGAAAACGTTTACAAATTTTCCCGAGAATTCGTGATTGATTGAAGGAAATTTAGCAACGCCTGAAGCCTCATACGGCGTTTTTCCCTAGCACGGCAGTATTAGTCGGGGGGCCCGGGCCAGTGACGGAGGGCGCGTGACCGGGGAGGGAGATTAGAGGACGAAGGCTCCCCTAAAAATTCCCCAAGTGAGGCGCATGTCTCCATTTTTAGCCTCTGGGATATGCGCGGCTCAATCACTTTTTTCCGCTCGCCCAAGATGACTCTCCATTATTTTTAGCTGCTTCGTCTCCCTGTGCAATAAAATCCCGGCTCCGCGCTTTTCTCCCACCGCTCCTTCCCACCGTTATCTTTTCCTTATCCTCGGCTAAATACACTCGAGAAATTTCAAGACGCAGAAGAAGGACAGGAAAAATTTCCTGACGCAACGGCTCTTGCGCTGGAGCATTTGTCGCGCCGTTGGTTCTCATGTAAATGGAAAGACTTTTTCGTAAGGACCACGCACATTTTCATCGTTCTTAAAAGGATCCAAGCCACATCAGCTGTTGCAAAATTTCACGGTGCAACTTATTTTTTTACGAGGGAACGTCTTTGCGGATTCCTTTGAAATTTTTTTGGGATTCCATGTTAAAAATTGGCGATAGAATGTGTGTTCCAAAATACTATAGACCTAAAGCCGGCTGTAAGATTTCCTATAGCTTTGGTAGCCGGCTGTACAATTTCTTTCAGCCTTTTACAGCCGATGGCGACTAAGCAACAGCCAGACGATAAAGTTTATGCTAAACGTTACTAAATACGGATACAATGACTTAGTTAGTTTGTGGACTACCGCTCTCTTTTTGTGCCGTAGTATCTTGATTTATTTTGCGAGAAAAGCTCCGTACTCTTGAAGGATGCCTGTCATTCTTAATATGTTGGAGCGCCTTCAATTTCTTATGATACTGTGCAACACCTCTGGTGTGAAATAGTTGCTTCAGACGCCGTGGCACGCTGCGGCGCGGCGGGCAGGCAGAGAGCGCAATGCGTGAAGTATCCCTATTAGGTTTGTAGGCGCCAGTGCGTTGCCGCGCAATGCGTGAAGTATCCCTGTTAGGTTTGTAGACGCCAATGCGTCGCCGCTCCGCTTTGTGTTAGGCTCTAATATTTAATCTCGCGGAGTCAGCGTTTTTCAACTCATGATTTTGAAATGTTTGCACACTCTGTATGGACCATCTCATTTTAATTGATGAAAAAACAATATGTTTTAAAGGAACATATAATGTGGGTTTTGTAAATATTAAGGTCGTTCCGTGTCAAACTTAATGATTTCCAAAGCACACGAATTTCTACACAATTGCTATAGCCTTTTAAAGTCAATGGCGATAAAGTGTAAAGCCCGGCTATAGGAACTATAGCCAGACTGTATACTTTTTTATAGCTTCGTATAGTCCGGCCATATGATTTGCTCCGCTTTCTACAGCCAGCTATATGATTTTCAATAGCCTTCTTTAGTCGGCAAAAGAACTCCTATGGTAGTTTGAAACGCAGCTCGTATCGCCAATTTTTACCAGGATCGCTATGCACTACGAGAAAAATTCACTGAACTTTGCACAAAAATCCCGTTTTCGTTTGAAAAATTAAAATGCCCCATTAAATTTGGCAATAGCATATGTGGCTTGGTTCCTTTCTGCTTCCCAGTTTATATTGTCCTGCCGCACGCGGAAAGAGTACTGCCGTAGTGCCGTGCTAAGGAAGAACGCCGTATAAACATTCGAGAGTTGCCAAATTTTCTTCGATATAATGTTTAATATTGAGGAAAGTAATGGATATTTTCCCTTATAATTTTCAGGAAATTCAGGTGAAATGGCGAACAAAATTATTTGACAAATTAGAGGAAGAGTATTTACAAATTTTCCCAAAAGATCGTGATTTACCAGAGGAAATTTGGCAACGCCTGAAGGTTCTTACGACGTTTTTCCTTTGTACGGCGCAGTAAACGAGAGGAAAAGTGTAGAGAAAGTGAATACTTACGGTGCTGTAGATGCTGAGTTCTTTATACGGATTGACAGCTACCAGAATGGTCCCAGAGTAGGTCTGCAAAAGTGAGTTAAGGAGTCGAATGCTTGCATGACGACATGAGAGTGGAATCGTCGAATAAATATATAATCAGGGGCGGGTCCGAGGGGCAAATTACCACTCGGGGCCCAGACCCCAGGCCCCCCTGGCCCCGGGCTGGGCCCCCCGATCCCAGAACCGGGGCCCGGGAGCCGCGAGAGGGAATACTAATGAGTTCCACGCTTCCACGTTTTGTCCACTTGAAGAGCGGCCTCAAGAATTTCAATTGTGATCGTTAATAAACTCCTCGAGAGTGCTTATGGCGCGAGCCCCGCTCTACCCAGAAGGTGTCTATGGATCCGGGACCAGGCACCGCCGCACACGGGGTCAATTGAATCAGTGAGAACGAAAACACACCAACTCGGTAACTCGAAAATGCGCAATTTCTATTAAAGACACCGTACCAAGACCCACCTTCCGAAATCCGAGCTATTTCAGTGTATCCGTACGTTTTCCGTACAGTAGACACCCTGTTTTCTCATGGAATAAAAAAAAATCATAAAACTTGAACTAACATTGACATTCCAACTCATAGCCGCAACGGATGAAATTTTTGCCCACGAGGCGGCGAAGGTACTAAAAAAGAAGGTTTTTTTATCAGCTCTAAGTATAAGTATCCTTTTACAATTTCGTTACCTGCCGGGTACTCAACTCGGGTCCCGTAAAAAAGCCACAGGAGGAACCGACAAATCGTAATTCTCAGCCTTGCGCACGCGCTGAGGTAAACCGCTCTTTTTTCGTCGCGCCCCTCGCGAAAGAACGTATGTCTACATTTTACTGTTGCCGAATTTCCCCTCGCAAATTGCACTTTTACCAGAAGAGTCTTGGGCATTTCGGACTGAAAATTTCACCGAATTTTACCGGATTCTCATGCAATAAGCAAAAAAATGTTGAACTGAAACTGCACGGATACATTCTTGAAAAAAAATTAAATTCTTGGAGTCAATTGCAGCTTCCGAATGTAGTTAAGTTCCTTCGCCTGGGAAACGACGTTTCAATTAATCCTTGAATAACCTTGATTCTTGTAGTATTCACCCTGTCAGGGTTGCTACAGAATTTGAAAAATGAAATTCCCTGACATTTCTCTGATTTCCCTGTCACATTTTGGTAAAATTCCCGGAAAATTGAAAATAGACTAGATGGTTAAAAAGACATAATTTCAGATAGTTTTCAATCAAAGTCTATTGTTTGAAACGTCAAACCTGGTCTAGAAAGCAAATAAAGATGTCTTATCAATTTTTCCATGACATCTATGACATTTTCGTCATTTTCCTTGAAAATTTCAGGTTTTCCCTGACTTATAAAAGTCCGTGATATTTCCCGGTATTCCCTGACTGGGACAACTCTGAATAACCTTGATTCTTGTAGTATTCACTAGAGTCCCTTTATACTGAGAGTTAAGACAACCCCCCTCGTGGAGTCACAAACGCAAATAAAGATTACACAAATTGAAAGTTTTTCGTAATCTTTGATCGGCCCATTCTCAAATTCCTTTCTCCGTTCCTTCTCTCATTCCGTTTGTTCCTTGCCGAACCCGTGATTCCCAAGTCCATTCCAGAGTATAATCTTTGCAATTGGTGAAGATGTAATCTTTATTCCCGTTTGTGACACTGTGGAGGCCTAAAATACGGGAACCAAATCAGAAATTGATTCGCATTGTCTTTACTCTCAGTGTAAAATGACTCTGGTATACACTCTGTGTGCGGCCGGTCATACATTGCACGATACCTAAACTATCTACAGCTACAGTTACTCCTGAAAGCATACAGAGGCCTTTTGACATTCCTTTATGACAAGGCTCCATCGAATCCATGAGGACTCTGCCCTAGAGTACCTATATTGAGAGAGTATGGCCACTGGGGTTACCACCTCTGATTGGCTCAGCCATCTTTGGCTGAATGGAGCCCTTAGGACCCAAAAATGGCGGACGCCATAAATTAATGTAATGCAAAATGACTCAAAATGTAGTTTTCTTCGCTTGTTGTAACGAGAAATTTACTCAAATGCACTATTGCGACATCTTTACATATTTTTAAGGCTAATCGTGTGCAATTTTTGAGAAAAATTATCATAGATGTAGTAAGGTTGGCAGCAAGTGCGATTGGTGATAACCGTCAAAAGTTGGCAATGACCCCCTCCCATCCACAAAAACCAAAACAAAGCACCGCCATTTTTGGGTCCTACTCCTAAGCCTCTCCACGGGGCCCAGTGGCCATACTCTCTCAATACAGGTACTCTACAGAAGCCTTTTGACATTTCTTCATGACAAGGCTCCATGGAATCCATGAGGACTCTGCCCTATGAGTTCCCCCGCGGTTGCGTCAGTGGACGCTCCGTCGAGAGCATGACCCGGAAAGGCGGAGCCTTCAATCAAAGTTGGAATCGCAAACGTAAGCGAGTTCATTTGCGTTTTCATCATTGCTTTCACTTGCGACATCGCGCTCGTGATCGCCGATCGCCGATTCCCGATTCTGCTCACGCTCGCTGCATTGCAGCCACGATTATCACATCCAGCACCATCCACCGAAAATAGGCCATTGTTCGCCGTCCAACCACTCTCCATCAAGGTCTCGTGTGCTCATTCGGACTCGAGTGCCTTCATAGGGAGAATATGGACAAATCGAAAATTTGGAGGTTATGCCGCAATCAGACCAGAGACAAGAGACCCTCCACTGGCCTCCTAGCGACAGGTGGAAGCTTTTACTTTCGGGGTTTCAACAATTCCTTATGGACAATTATGAGCGAGCAACAGTCATCACCCTATTTTCGGCTGTTGACTTACCTACATGGTCGATGATGAGCTTCGGATGACGTCATAAGCCAAACAACTTTCCCAAACGTCGGCCATTTTCGGCTTGTTTGCAAAACGAAACTGCCAACACTTTGTTGAACATCAACCATGTAGATAAGTCAACAGTAGAATGCTGAAGTCCCGAAAGTAAAAGCTTCCACCATGGCCAAGTTACTGGTGGAGGGTCTCTTGTCTCTGAATCAGACGCTGAATTTAGCAGCTGAATGTGGAAGTCAACAGTCATCGCCCAACGGCTGAAATTTAGCAAATTCGAGTTATTTTCATCCAGATGTGTACCGAATCTACTCGAATAGTTCAGACAAATTCAAAATTGGTCCGATGGTTGCTGAGAATCGTTGCTGAATTTTGGGCATCGGGCCGATGACTTCCACATTCAAGCCACATTCAGCTCCCACAATCAGCGTGTGATTGCGGTGCTAGGTTCGATCAGGTCAAGTAGCTTATGGGGTCCACAGGAAAGCTCGTGCTGCCTACACCGAAAATTGTACGCGAACTGCCAATGCGCTAGAATCACCTCTACACGCTCGGTCGGTATGGAGATATTTTTGTGGGCTCTGAATGAGTGTAAAATTTACGGCGATACCACCATTCGATACCGCGTGACGTTAAAATCACCTTTTCTCGTCCGGTAAAAAGCTATTTTTCACGTGTATTTCGAGAAACTTTGGATTTCACGATGATACCACTATTCGACCACGGGGGAGCTCATGTTGCCTATACTGAACATTGAAGGAGAACTGACATGTCGTTAGTCACCTTTTCCCGTCCGTTGAGAAGTTTTTTTTGTTTGTATTCCGAGTAAGCGAGCCGTTTCACGGCAATACCACTATTCGACCACGGAGATGCTCGTATTGCCTACACAAAAAATTGTTGGCGAGCTTCCAATGTGCTAGAATCACCGTACACGCTACGGGCTTTAGAAATAAAATGCCTTAGGGGTGCCTCACGCATCATTGGAAAAATAGAGTTAGTGACGTTTTGGAAATCTCCAATAACTGCTCCGCGTGTGCGGAAAATTTGGTAGCCCTATCTTAGGCTGGTTATGAGGTTCGGAGTTTCAAAGATTGCGATTTACATTAGAATAAATGGAACACGCGCGCGGTTTCTTACTGATTACTGAAGAAGACTTACTGAATACTGAAATACTGAAATTACTGATTACTGAAGATTACTGAAAATACTGAAATAGACCTCTCGGTTGGATTGGTTGCATTATACACATAACGTAATAACGTCATGACATATAAGCTAAGGATCAAGGACAACATAAATTCCCGATCAAGCCCCCGAACCCCCTCTTTAAACTTCGATTTTTTTAGATCATTCATGAATTTAGGGCTTGAAATACTGGAGAGTACAAATTTTTGTGAAATTTGGTCCAAAACCGTTGCTAAAATTCGGGAAAATTATTTACTTTCCGAATTTTTTTTTAGGGGGGGGGGGCAAGGCTCAGACTGGGGGGGGCACTTTTTGAAAAAATTTCAGACGACAAAAAAGACTTATTTTGACCCATAGAAAACGCTCCTGCAGTCTGGGCGTTTAACCCTGGATCATCCTGTATAAAGTCCGTCGAATGGACCACTAGACAAGGTACGAATTTCAGCATTCTGAAACATGATTCTGAAACAGAATTTCACGTAGAACACGATTCGCGCAACGAAAATAACTGAAACTAACTCCTAACGAAGATATTAACGTTTCCTTTTCACATTGGTTACGAGGAATTTGAACTGCCCGCTTACAAGAAACTCAAAGCTCCACGTGAGTCAAATCGCGCACTACAACGGTTTCAGCAAGCTTCTCAATCGAGCAATGTTCATTTCCCACCGTGTATCTTTCAAACTATAAACAACTTGTTATAGCTGAGCCACAGCGTCAAAATCGAGGTTGCCAGATTTTTATATCGCATAGATGGTCATGATAACGTCTAGCGCGCGATGTGAGTCACGTAGAGCATCGAGTTTTCATGAGCGGGTGGTTTGAATTCACGCATCAAGAATCATTAAATATCTTCGTAAAGAGTTAGTTTTGGCAATTTTGATGGTGCGCATCGTGTTCTACGTGAAATTTTCGTTACGAAACATGTATCAGAATGCTGAGATTCGTACCTTGTCTAGTGGTCCATTGACACTGAAGGTGATTCTCCTCAGCCGTGGCACCTTCCTTG